CAGAGTTCGTTGAATTTGCATCGACCTGTCTCGTCTGTAGTTGAATGAAACCTGCATCGATTTACAATAAGCCAGTTCACGGTTTAGCCGGCTTCGTAACGAGGCCGGGGTCACCTGGGGTCAAGGGGGATAAAAATCGCTGACGTTGGTGGCGTTGCATAGTGTTTGCCTTGACAGTCGCGTGGATACATGCATTTAAACGGGATTCTACTAGAATCTAAAGGCTAATCTGAGTTTATTCTGCATGTGAGTATACATCAGTTGTTTGCGATGATTATAATAACAATTTTCCGAGTCTGACAATAATATTTATTTGATTATGAGCACATTAAGAGTACATATGCAGAGTACCCAATTTATGACTTTGCTGTTGCCACAGAAATGTAGGTTGTATTTCATATTATGTAATATATTATGTCCATATGTGCTAAATTTCACACAGTTTGTGTAAAAACATGTATAGAATATAGCACAGTATTATGGTCGTATTTCTAGTAGATACATTGACAAAATGTTCCATATAGTTAATTTTAATCCTAGTATGTATTGTTTGTCTAATGTTGATCAGTGGGTAGCTTCAACTCCCATGCTTTAGTTGCCATGGCAACCAATGTCAGAAAATCAGTAGAAAATCTTTATACATTTTTATGCAAATTGACCACACTTCAACTGTTTATAGCAAATAACTGTTTGAATCATGTGATTTTAGGAACATGGATGACAATATGACTCTGAATGACTTTAAGCGATGGAAAGTTGATGCACTGAAAGCATATTTGAAGAAAAGAGGAGTAAGCTGTACTGGAAATAAAGAGACATTGGTTGCCAGGGCATTTGTAGTATGGGAGTTGAAGTTACCTTTTGTTCCAACTGATAAGGAATACCAGGAGACTGTGCGAAAAGAACTTGGAGATGCACTAACAACACCTGATGGCCCAGTTCCAGATCCCAAAACATTGGTGGGCCTGGAGGATGAAAAAACTGCCATGAGTAAGTGGCCGCCCACCATGATCCAAGATATAGGTAATGTGCTATTCCAAAGTACAATTTACTATACAAGCAATTACCTAAAATATTTCCTAAATCATCACATGTACCACTATTGAATATTGGAAGCAGTTTTGATAATTAGCTGTTGTATACTGTGATAGAAAAGCAACTTTTTAGAATACACTATCCAATTTCAGGTGTTTATTTGGCTAAGCTGGAACCTGCTAGACAAGAAGGAGTCTCCTTAATGCAGCGTATTATGAGTGACTATAAAGACCAGAAGGCCTATTCATACTTCTCCAGTCGTTGGCTTTTTGAAGTTAAATATCATCACATTACTCCTGGCAGCAAGTATTGCTTCCTTAAGGCCAAGTGCACTCCTTCACAGCGAATACGAGACATTCCACATGAAGTCTGGGTTCTGCTTCATAAGAAAACAGGCAACATCAACAGTGCATGCTGTTCATGTTTTGCAGGGTATGTACATGAATTTCTCTCTCTGATACTTCGCCATATTTAAATCATATTAAAGTGTGAGTCATAAGAGTATTAAATATATAGTGCAATATTAAATATTATGTGAAGAAATTACATAATTATACTATATTAAATGATGCTATATTGGACTATACACTTGTGTTTACTTTAGAATTTTAGATTCCAGTGTCAGTAGATCAGCTTTGATATTTAATTTTTACACTTATGTATAACTATTTTCTTCACTTTTCATTTCAAGGATTGGCCAGAATTGCAATCATGTTGCAGCACTTCTATTTAAAGTTGATTTTTGCTGGCAGTATGGGTATGTGTCCACGACCTGCACATCACTTCCTTGTAGTTGGGCTGAAGGTGGAAAATCTTTGAAAGTTGAGCCATGCCGTGTAAGAGACATGAAAATTGTGAAGCCTAAAGCTTCAAGAACTGGTGAGAATATTCAAATTTTATTTATTGTGCAATTAATACACAAATAATTTTGTGAATTTTTTATTTGAAATGTACATTTAATGACTGTTTTTGCTGCTCTGTTTGTAGGCCAATCAACAGACATACACTCGGAGCAGAAAAATATATTTCTGCCTTTCCAGAAAAACAAGGGAATGAATTTCCAACAGTTTATGGGTAGATTGCAATTGATCAACCCATCCAGTGTCCTCCTTCTGGAGAACAGTATGGATCGCCACACTATATGTCAGAAGTTTGACATGGTACATTCAAAAGCAGAAACCATTGCACCTCCATCAATGACTGAACTTGTTACCCAGTGTGATGAAAAAACAATCACTTTATCACATGAGGAGGTGAGAATGTTAGAAGTAGCAACTCGTGGCCAGGCTGATAACCCACTGTGGATAGCACAGCAAACAGGACGTTGCACTTCTTCCATATTTAAACAAGTTTGCACAAGAATGGATACTGCACTGAGAAACCCAGGAACTGATTGCACTAGGCTTGTAAACATCATCATGGGAAGAACTTCTGTCAGTGAAAATATCCCTGCACTAAAATATGGCAGAAGAATGGAAGATTTGGCAGCACAAAAATATTCTGAAAAGCAGAAAGCACATAAACATCTGAAAGTTGAAAAGTGTGGATTATTTGTGCTGCCAAATCTACCATATTTAGGTGCTTCTCCAGACAGAATGGTGCACTGCTGTTGCGGTCAAGGACTGCTAGAAATAAAATGTCCTATTAGTATAGTAGATAAGGAACCAAACCCTGCTAATCTACCTTATTTAGTAGATTAGAATGGTGTGGTATCGTTATCCAAGAAACATGAATATTTTTTTCAAATTCAGGGACAACTAGCTATTACTGGCTTGAAGTGGTGTGATTTTTTTGTGTACAGCCACAAAGGCCATTATATTGAAAGAGTATTGTTTGACAGTGAAATGTGGCAGGATATGCTAAAGACACTCTGTCTCTTTTATGAGACATATGTTTTAGGGGCTTTGAGATTTTGTAGCACAACTGAAGTCGAGGTTGAAACATCTACAGACACTGTAGCTGCTCCAGACAGTATACCAGTAGCTGAACACAATGTGAAAGTATCCCAATTGCCAACAACAATGTCTACAAAGGAAGCAAAGAAAAGAAGCAAAAAGCCAGCCAAAGGAAAGGGCAAAAAACATAAGGTGGTCACTGAACCCATTTACTTGTGTGTAATTTGCACAACAGAGTGCCTTGAAACGCCTCACATTGAAACAAATGAACAAAACAGTATCATGTGTGATAAATGCAACATGTGGTGTCACTGGGGATGATGAAGAACTTGGAGAGGAAAAGTGGTATTGTCCTAACTGCAGAAAATAATTTTAGATTACAGTGCTGACTACCAGTGCAATCCTACACAAAATTTATTGGGTACATGCAAACGTTAACTCATTTTTTTTTTTTCAAACTGGATCAGTATTTACCAAATGCAGAGGCTCAACATCAGATAAAATGACACAAAAATAAATCACAATGATGCCACATTATGCTCCTTTAACATTTATAAAATAGGCACTTGGTGGTCATCACTGTACAAGACGTGTTTCTATATTTATTAATATGAAGTAGAAGTGGCATGTGTATTAAGTAGCTTATACAATATATGTGTGGAATATTATTGTAGAATTTGAATTAAAGTATGGACATTTATGAAATAGTATATTGTTTGATTTTTGAGTCTTTGCAGTTACCCTGTCTGTATGTGTGTGTGGGTGTGTGTGTGTGTGTGTGTGTGTCTGTTCGTTCCTCTGATATCTCAAGAACCGTATGTTGGTTTTTAATGAAACTTGGTGTATAGATGCTCTGGGCTAATCCGCAGATGTGATTAGTTTTGGATTAAAATCCATGCATATAATTAACCTAATTTTAATAATGATTAGATTTTTGACTTTTCCACTGATATCTCAGGTAAAATAATCATCACATTTCAATGAAACTTACACAGATACATAGGACGATGCACATACAGATATGTGAAATATTAATTACCTAATTTGCATAATTAATCAATTTTCAGCTTTTGATATTTCAAGTACTATTACTTCATTACTTTTCAATGAAACTTGTGTAAAAATGTGTGTATATTAATCAATTAATTTACATAATTAGTTAATTTTTGGCTTTTATACTGATAATGTACTAATTATTCCATTTCAATGAAACTTTTTACATGAGCACCCTGAAACAATATACAGACATAAATCTATGCATAATAAGTGCTTAATTTGTATAATAATTCATTTGGTTCATTGAGGTAATCCACAGACATGATTAGTTTAATGTTGATAAACATTGAATATATATTATTAGCCCATTTCCGATATCAGAAAAATCAGATTTAAATTTAATTCATCGCAGAGGTGCTATGGAACTAATTAGACTAAAAACCATAGATGAAAAATTAGACTAAATACCATGGATTAAAAATTAAATGTATTTTCTGTATGTATTATAAATTTTGATGATGTGAATCACATTGTATTTCATGTTATGCATCTCAAATAGCAAAAATTAGTTGACAAGCTTCTTGTTTGAAAAGCAAATCTTAAATTTATTTTAAGGTGTCTCCAATACTCTCAGCACACAGGCGTTCTTTCTAAACCACCAGAACACATATTTATTTCAAGGCGTTACTTGTGGTGAATGAACATGATCATCAAACTTATTCCACCTTGCATTTAAAATTAAAATGTTCATATTTATTAGTATATATATTTATAACTAAAACACAATACAATATTTGATAAGCCTGTGTGTCATCACAAACATGTAATGTCAATGAACCAAGTTTGTCAGAAAAATATTTTAAAACGATTGTTTATATCATTCTTTATATAAATGTATTTATCAGGTTTGATCACAAAACTATCATATTTTTTGCAAATACACAGAAATTACAATATAAGAAAGGTGAAGCATTGATGGCACTTCATTAAACATGGTAAGTTATCCAGAGATCTGCAAAAACTGAAAGTTGCACATTATCCTATCAGTCCTACAAGAAAATAACTCAACTTGGTTCATTTGATTAATGGATCAAGGAGGTTACACAGTCCTGCACAGGTCATAATAATGTCATTTGCTAAAGGAACCAACGTTAAAGGAAGTGTTGTTTTGAGAATTCGAAAGCGCTTTATTCGCTCAATAGCTCTCTCAATGTGGATTCTGAGGTTGGCAACTTCTTTTGTTTTCTTGACGTCACTTCCTGACATTTGTTCATGGCCTCTTGCACCAGGAGGAATGATCAGCTCTGCCCTATGTAACAGTAAATCTCCTGCAATGTCAAACCCTCTATCAGCCATATATTGATCATATAATTCCACTTTGTCCATAAATCCACTATTCAGTGTGATATGTCGATCAGATATCCGACCACCCCAAGCCTCTGAGAGAAACCCAATTTTACCACGTGGAGTAATGACTACTAGAACCTTGATGGTATTGTGTTTTTTATAGTCACTCCAGGTCAAGGCCTGGAGTTCAAGTTCTCTTGGTCTATCTATAAAAAATTCTGTACAATCCAATATACCTCTAAGCCTTGAGGTCCGTTTCATGAAACACCTTGGGAGATTGGCTCTAATGTTTTCAGGGTCTGGTAGGAAAATACTTTCTTTCAGGAGAGGGCCAATCACTTTTACCCAAGTTGTGAATATTGATGATACTAAACCTTCTGATAAATTGAATGTTCTGGCGATGTATTCATTCAATAATCCAAGTCTCAATTTCATCAAAGTGATAAGCATTTCTTCTTTTATTTCCACCTTTCGTCCAGGTCCTCTCTTCATAGGTGACTCTTGTGTTTGAGATTTTGATGTCTTTGCACCTTTCCAATACATCATTTTAACAACCTTTGGTTTAAAGTATTCAAATAATAGATTAAATATTTTAATAGTTGTTATTCCAGTGTAGAAAAGGCAAGCCTTGTCATCAGTTATAATTCCATCAAATTGTAGTTTAGGATTTGGAGGTTTTTCAGAAAGTTGTTTTATCAGTTTGTCTTTCTCTTTTATTTCAATGTCTTTCATGTGGCACCTTGGACAATGTTCACCTGGACAATCACACTGCAGTGGCTCTATGTAGTTATGTATCCATTCAGGTACGTTTGTATCATCAGAAGGGCCAGCAATTGATGGGCATGTTATTGATGGTGTATCTGATAGTTCAGTATTGTCTGGATTTGATGAATGTGTGAATGTTACTTTCTGTCTCTTTTGTATTGGTTCAAGTGCATGTTTATAGAGTTTTCTTCTGGGTGCTTTTACTTTAGACAACGATCTTCCAAGAGCCAAAGTAGGATATGGGTGTTCTGTTGTTGATTTACCATCAATGAAGTGCTCAGAGCAAACACGGTCATATTTGGTAGCCTCCCAGTTTTTTTTGGTTAATTTGTCTGTTCTGTACATTATCCTGCACCACTCTTTGTACATTTCATGATTATTCAGCTTTGATGGGAAGGGGTATAAGTAAAAAGGAGGGTCGCAAATACATGCTCCTACACCATGAAGGGACCTGTGTTGATCACATATTTCTGTTTTCCATTTGTTGATCCTATAGGTGCTGTTGTGGCACCCTACCACAGCACAAATAACTTTTGGCATTGTAGAATATGTTTATCTGAAGGAAAAAGCACATGGAATTATTTTAGTGTATACTTCTACAAGACGCAAGTTGTTATATTTATTTCAAATAAATATTGATATAGTATATGTATCAAACAGTAGCTAGGACTATTTATATTGACACTAAAAATTAGCCATATAGAATATTTTGACAATGAAATACGACCATAATACTGTGCTATATTCTATACATGTTTTTACACAAACTGTGTGAAATTTAGGCACATATGGACATAATATATTACATAATATGAAATACAACCTACATTTCTGTGGCAACAGCAAAGTCATAAATTGGGTACTCTACATATGTACTCTTAATGTGCTCATAATCAAATAAATATTATTGTCAGACTCGGAAAATTGTTATTATAATCATCGCAAACAACTGATGTATACTCACATGCAGAATAAACTCAGATTAGCCTTTAGATTCTAGTAGAATCCCGTTTAAATGCATGTATCCACGCGACTGTCAAGGCAAACACTATGCAACGCCACCAACGTCAGCGATTTTTATCCCCCTTGACCCCAGGTGACCCCGGCCTCGTTACGAAGCCGGCTAAACCGTGAACTGGCTCACAGGGGCTTGTCGACTGAGCGCGAAAGCCCCTTGTCGAGAACGAAGTTCGAGAAGGGAGGACACTCTACCACCAGAGTGACGTCATAGCATTACAATTATTCGAATTTAAACAGTAATCAATCATTTACCTTAGAAAAAACAACACAAAAAACTGAATACAGTTAAGTGCTAATCTATTCAAACCACCATCACGACCAAATTCGGCAAATTAGCGACAAAATACACGTTTTCCCGAGTCTGAATGACTACCGCTGTATGTCAATTGCCGGCCGCAGCCATCTCAAATGCATGCTTGGTCTTGATTGGCTAATAAGTGGGCGTGTCTAAGACCGCTTATTTCAAAATTCCGTGTACTATGGCTGCCAGCACTATGGAGTCGGTGAATTCTGGCAAGTTTCCATTGGTTTCTTGGTGAGCAAACGGTACATTTTTATGTAGAATTGACACCTTTATTCTTGTTATCAATTTAGTTTTGCCCGTGCCTGCTTGGCCTAAAATAAGAAAGTTGTGGCCCTCATTTACTGCGGTCACAATGTTTTCCTCTACAGTTGCCATGTTGTTTAAAATCAACAGTGAGTTAAGGGGTCTTTCACACACCCACTTTATTAACCAATTAGAAACAACCCAACAATGACTGACGTACAGCGGTAGTCATTCAGACTCGGGAAAACGTGTATTTTGTCGCTAATTTGCCGAATTTGATCGTGATGGTGGTTTGAATAGATTAGCACTTAACTGTATTCAGTTTTTGTGTTGTTTTTTTCTAAGGTAAATGATTGATTACTGTTTAAATTCGAATAATTGCAAAGCTATGACATCACTCTGGTGGTAGAGTGTCCTCCCTTCTCGAACTTCGTTCTCGCCAAGGGGCTTTCGCGCTCAGTCGACAAGCCCCTGTGCGTATCGTGACCGTACATGCGTTAATGCCGCCTGTCGGCACGGGTGAGTACTGATGCCACAAATAAAAAATGTTATGAGTTTTATTTTGACAAATCGTTCGTTTTGGCGACAAATCACCTTGTATATTTTCTACATTAATGTTTTGTACTTGCTCTTGGTTACTCGAATTGCATTTCATGAACGCAGAATAATTTGCGAACGTATAAATCACGATTTCAAACTTTTTGCCGTTCGTAATATTATAGTGACCAATCTGTTGTATTTTAAAAAATTGTAACATGTTCATTAAATTAAAAGAGATAGTAAATAACTTA